AAAAAGCGTGAGACTTACAGTGGACTTACCCTATCTGATGACCTCGACATGAATAACAACGAAATAATAAAATTAGGTGCTCCAACTACTGATAATTCTGCTGTGTCTAAGAAATGGGTCACCGATCATGTCAGTGGAAGTTCTATCAGTAACAGTGGCTTTACTATGAGCGGTAATATTGACATGGCTGGTAATACTATTACGGGGCTAAATAGTGGGTCGGTTGGGGACTCCAGTGCAGTTTCCTATGGAGCTATGAGTTCTTGGTGCAAACAGTTCCTGAAACGAAATGGTGGTACTCTAGATAGTAATTTAGATGTTAACGATTACGAGTTAACAAGGGTGGGGGGATCCTACTACGGACGGTTCCGCTGTTAATAAGAAATGGGCAACTGATGAGTTCATGAGTAGTAGAGGTGGACTGGTAAAGGGTGATCTGGATATGGGAGATTCAAGTGGTATTCTTGATCTAAGGGATCCGGTAAATGATAAGGACGCAGTTAACAAGCAATGGGTAGAAAAGAATTTCCTAAAACCTTCCTCAGGTCTTGTACAAGCAGTAGCCGATAAGAGATACGTAAGAATAAACCGTCACATTCACGCTGAGTGGATCTGGGGTTATCGTGGTGTATCAGTTGCAGCAACAAGGTACTATGCTTACTGTCACGATCAGATTCCACCTTCATGGAGAACAGATACTATTAATAATATGACAGACCTCAACCTTGAGTCAATTACTATTAAAACAGACTACCCAAGTTTTTCAACCATTCAAAATATACCACTAGCTCTAATCCTGTGGGCTACTGTATGGGAAAAACAATCTAATGGAAAATTTACACAGGTCAAGAAGGAAATCGCTCTTAGAACAGTAGACTTAAGAAGACTGTCACACACTTGGTTCAATGGAACTTACACAACTACTGGTGGAAGTACAGCTTGCTACGTTTTCAAGGCTAATAGTATGTTCTATTTAGGAAATCAGGTTGAGCTGGTAGATAATACGCTGGCCTGGTGTATTATAGTTAAACCGGAACACTCAATGCCAACAGGTACTAGTATGGACATGTCCTTTTGCTGGTCACTTCGATATTCAGGGTCGGGTGCTTAACATTTGTTGTACTATAAGGTATCATGTCAAAGTGGCGGTCATGTTTCTCATGTATTGGTAAAATATGTGGCTGCCGTAAGAGGTCTAGTAGAACTGGGAAGTCTGGTGACATAAATTTCTCTGTATCAAATAATATTAATGTTGGAGTAACAACACAGACTAAAAAGGATAATGTTAATAATGTTTCCGAACCACAAATGCTCCCAATCCTGCGTACCCTCGAGGAATAAATTAAGTATATAAATCTAAAATTAATTCGGTTAAAAACTGGTGGTCTAGAAAGTTCATGAAAACGTGAACGAAAAACTAGTGGTCTAGAACCGGCAGTTCCTATACTACTACCAAGGGATTGGCAAATCAGTTCCAGATTCCAAATTTTTAATAAGCGTTGTCCACCAATTAATTGTCCCGTCATCAAATTTTGCGTTAAATTTGACGAGATCATGTGTGATTTTTGTCAAAATTAATGGATCGAAGGATGGTTTGATCAACGTCGGTGAACCATTGGGGATACTTTGGACGATTGTATATTCTGGATCCGGGTTATCTTTGGGTTTCAGAAGAATCCAGTCCTTACTTGTCGACCACTTTTTGTAGAAAGTTAGGACTTTGCCATTTTTCATTTCAAACTTGAATTGTTGCTGATGGACATGGCCACTTATTTTATCCTCCACATAACCGTCCATCCACTTTTTAACATCAAACATACACCGCAGTTGTTCGCATGAAGGTTTTGGGGTGTAGGAACTTTCCATTTCTGCAAACAGCTCTGGTATTGTTCTTGCATCATGCTTGGCCAAATGACGGGAGAAGCATGAGAACATTTGGTCAATGTCCTCATGTGTATGTCCAACCATAAGGAATGATAGTTTTATCTGAATAAAAATGAGAGAGGTTAATTTTAACGTTACTGTTCTGGTCAATGATTGAAATTATTCATGGATACAAATTAAAATTAGTGAAATATATGAAAAGTACCTTTCTGAACAGACCCATTTTCACCAAGATAGCCAAGAATCCAAGGACAAATTTATTCTTGCACTCACGGTAGCAGTTATCCATTTGTAGGTACATGACAGGTGGCAGTTTATCAAGCTATAAGAAATGCATGCACGTTAGTACATGAACGTATATTATTATCACTTAACTTATTTCGATTTAACTTGGATCAGAGGTAATCGGCGAGTGTGATTCTATTTGGGTGATTCGATTTGGTCGGATACAATGCATGCGAAGCGCGGGTTAGTTTTTTAAGCAAATTCAATACATGCATTTACTTTCATCAATGGCAATAGGTTTTTCGTATCGTATAGCTATGTCTGATAAACACTCCTATATACTCATTTAATTAAATAGAAAAATGTTATTAAATTTCAAAATAATTTAGACGAAATGACTAATTAGCTACACCTTAAAGACAACATAAGAGAAGTTCTGAAGAGGTTCTCGCCGAATGGTTATCCTGACCAGTATTTTTAAGATTTTTGACCTGTTTTCAAACGCTCTTTTATAATGCCATGGCATCTGCTTGAAGGTGCGCAGTTTAACTGTTTAAGCCGCAGGCATGCATAGCCTGTAGCTTCATAATAAACCTACAAAGTCAAAGAAATTTAATATAATACAAAAGGTCTATGCATGCATGCATACCTTCCCTTGAAATAGTAGCAGTGTCCGCATTAAGATGTTGATCGTTAAATTTGAGTCATGTGGCCATTCACAGTTGTCCAGAAATGCAGAAGCCATTGAATGACAGTTAGCCAAAACACCAGTTACGTGTGTCTTTAATCTAGTAGCTGTGCTGTCAACCTTCATAAAAGATCAAGCAATCACATTGAAATATCGTATATTGAAAATGCTGCACGCTGATGGTTGCTTATGAGGTGACTATCACGCGATAATCATCCCCATCATATTTAAGATGGTACACCGGGGTTTGTTTTAAGAAAGTGATGAACAAATGTGTAATTTTTGTTTTTTCCACACAATCACCTATGAATTTATATACTAAAAGAAAACAGTTATTCATACATGCACCTCAGACTTTGTGATTATCGTGCATGAATAAAACCTCTACTTTTCTCGGTTTTTATTTGGCGGTATTCACATCGCCTTCGGTGTAGAACTGCATGCATGTCAATTAAAATAATACCTTTGTTGTCACTTGAAAATGTGACAAATTGTGCTTGGACTGATCCATGCCATCAATAATGATTGACAAGTACTTCTTCGGCTCGTGCTTCGCTTTGAAGCCATGCTTATAATACTTTTCTCGTTCAGCCCTTTCAGAGTATATAATAATAGGAGTGTACTTCTCGTGCTTTAAATTTAATAAACATGCATGACTTGTTTTAAAATACTCGATACTGAAAATGCAAAACTCACATTTGCTGTGTTATGTGCACCCTTCGCATCAGTGTAAACTGCTGCCGCAGATTAGCTGTCAGCTTAGAACTTTGTAGCTTCTCTTTCAAAAGGACACAGATGGAGCATTTTGTGAAACGGCTTTGCTACAAAAGAAAGCAAAATATTATAATTGCATTAGAACAGTCAAGGTTAATTAGAACAAAAATTAATTGGTGGTCTCAGATGCAATTTCGACAAATATTATTACATAAGACAAATACAATCAACACAGTTCAGGTTCCTGTACAAAATAATATTGATAAAAACTGCATTTGGAATAACCAATTTAAATTAAAAAAATTAAGTCGTTTATATACTGTGCCTGTGTGGTGACAATGATTTTCAGAGGACCATCCTCGTTGACAGAATTTTTACATGGAGGAAATAATATTAGTACCTTGGATATATAGACATTCGGAAAGCTTGTTCTCCACATTTCGTATATGAATCTCGTGCGAGACAATTTTGGTTGGTCTTTCATTTGATCCACGTACAAATTATACACCGTAAGCTTTGTTAAGCAGGAGGGTAAGCACTTTACGTCACAATTTGGCATGGAATCCGCAAACTTGCTGAAATTACCGAACCACATTTTGGCCATTTCGTAGGTAACAGACCTTCGACTGAGTTTGGCTGTTGTATCATGAACTTCGTATTCTTGAATAGCTTTTCGGTGTTCAAAAAAGCTGCAAATATATAAGACAATACATGCATGTATATAGAACACCATTGGAGATTTCATGAATGACAGATAATCCGATAAATTTTGCTCACTATATAATATAATTAACAAGTAATCCAAAAAAGTTCACTGCATGCAGGGGTGGGGGAGTGGGGCAGTAAGGCCTATATGCAAAAAAAAGTCGAAAATGCCCAAAGAATAATTGATAATATCATTCTAAAAATCATAAATATAGTTTTCTCTATGGGGAAGTTGCCCTGGTTCATTGTGAAATTGTAAACCAAATTGTAAACTTTAATAAAAACGTGCGTGAAATTAAATCTTAATTTTACTCGGTCGCATGCGCTTAATTTAGACTTTCAAATTGATGATTTGCCACCTATTACCAAAGCATAATTGCAGAAAAAGCCAAATTGTAATCTGTAATCTCACCATGTTTTCGAAATTCCTTGAACAGCACACCAGGCTTTCGGGCATATATTTACTCCATTAAAGATAAATCTCTTCTCGCTTGGTCCCTTCCCACCTTTACGAGGATTTCGTCCTAACTCTGCCTGCTCGATCATGGCATTGATATAAATTTTACGATCTGAAAACAATTTCGACCAAACTCGTTTTCGTTGCTTGTTTACAGATTGTAGAGAAAAATTCTTTAGGCACTGGTCTTTACAGCAAGTTTTCGAAACATCTTTTAGTATGTTGTCCATGGAAATTTTTTCTTCTGTTGATTTGATTCCACACTTTTTTTACCTAAAATAGGCATAACATGCAGAAGGAAGTAATACTTCGTACCTATACGTATAGCTGCCATGCCTTCATAATACAATTATGCAAATGTCGAAACATAAACTTGCAGGTCCATGAAAATGAGACATCATTAGGACCATTTATGCAGGAGAAAGTAAGTCGCGAATTACATAGGTCGCGTCTCACACATAAACATGACTTACGTCAGTAACGACTTATATATTCTCCCATATAAATGGCCCTATTCTGCATGCATGTACCTCCGTCGCCAGTTCCGCTCTCTCTCGAATCATTCATCTAAAAACATCAAAGACAAAGGAAAAATTGAACAATTTGAATTGAGCTAAAAACATCTGTAATTACACGAATGTAAAAATGCCCTGAGATATCCTACACCAATACACCATACACAATCCCAGAACACGCGCAATGCATGATGCGTGATTGCCCGGCTTTATGTAGTGAAGCTTATTAGATGTTATAGTTTGTCACCGCGTAGGAAGCAATAGTTTGCATAAATGCATGCAGCTTGTACAAAACCACAAACCCATGCAGTGATAAATTTCACCGCACCTAAATATATAAATTACCTTGTCCTTGTCTGCATTTTTTATATTCCAAAAAACCTGACTTATGTCTGCCAAAGGATTTCTAAACTCATATGGATCATCAGGCTCAACGTTGTCCGTTAAACAGCAAGATCTATTCAACTTTAGAATTATACGACAACTATATAATTATATATAACATTTGACACATAATTTCTCGGTAGCCATGCAGATTGGTCAACATGAAAATAAAATGTGGAGCAAATATCATTAAAAAACTGTTCAAAATGGTTATCGTGTTTTATGTTTTTTGAATTATTTATACACATTTGAAATGATGCTTGTGATGTTACTCTGAGTGTATATCCACACCGGACAAGCTTGAAAAATATGCCTGACCATGGTGGCCAGGCATATTTTTCAAGCTTGCCCGGTGTGGATATACACTCAGAGTAACATCACAAGCATCATATTCACCTGAGTACATTACATCAACACAGAAAAAATACATTTGAATATATTTTAGAACAGTCGGGGAGAATATAGAGATTTAGTATTTTTGCACAAGTCGGAATAATAATAACAAATCCTATAAAGTTGATTGGTCAAATTCGACGTATTAAGCTGTTATATATTCACCTACAATAGAACAAAACCGAAATTTACTGATAAAAGAAATATAAGCGAAATTAAAATAAATTCAGTCCCAAAAAAACACAAAAGACTTGTGCAAAAATACTAAAACAAGTATTTGGCCCGCTTGTTGATTAGGCAAATAATTATTTGTTGATTAGGCTTGGCGATTATCACGAGGAATATATTCACCTCGACTTTGTCTCGGTGAATATTCCCCGATAATCACCTGGCCTTCGGCGAATAATTGTTAAATAGTTTTGTGCAAAGCTTACCAACACGAGTTCGTCTTCGAGCCTATGAATATTCTCCTCGGCAAGATCCAAACAACGACATTTCTCCGTGCAATTACACCCCAATACCAGATCTACATCCTCGGCAACCATATCATCACCTTCTTCATTCTAAACATGACAGTATATAATTATTAATTCGGTAGATTTCCATAATTGTATCATTTTCGAACAAATTTTCAACATACTTACAGGAGCAGGTTGAACGTTTTCTCGTCGAAATTGGTTTTCGTCAAAAGGAACATTTCTACCTTGTTCACCCTTCATGGTCAAGTAAAATCAACATCAGTCAATACATGCATGCATGCTGCCAATGAAAATTTCACAGTCACATATGTACGTATGATTATAATGATGGATGCTTACCCTATTTTCGCTTGAAATCGTTGGATCGATGACGACATTTATCAAAATGGATAAAAGCAAGAGTGGCATTGTGCGATAAGCAATACTGCATAACATTTTCGACCCTTGCATGCGCGCGGTGTGATTTTGTGTCTGCAATGTTTGAATTTTCCCTCCAATTCAACATTATTATATACATAAATATTCAGTTTTTGATTTAATTACATACATGCGATCACATGACCCCGCTTTTAGCCAATGGGTTTGATTTCTATTTTGATTACTGTGGTCGCAGATGTCCGGCCATACAATTATTTTAATAGGAAATATTTTAATAGGTCCAGTGGTAGCCTGCGTGCAGCCTCAACCCGAATACTTGAGGCTGCACGCAGGCTAGTCCATGCAGTGAGTGTTCAATCATTGTGTTCAATTCAATAATTAAATTAGCCCTCTTTACTTTAGATTATATGTGGGAGTGTATCATGCGCTTATGAGTATGTTTAATTTGCTGAGAATCGCAACGTGCCCATGCAACATGACGCATTGACGCTTGTTTTGCCATGAAAATATGCAGCAGCACCCTAGCTATAGAAACTTGGCAATGAGCACATTATAAATATCCGCTCACATGCAGACATAAAATGTAAATAACTGTGGAAAAAAACCAAGGTGTTGTTGTACAAGCTGGGTGTTTCCGTATAGTTTTGCACGACATAATCGCATTATGTTTTTGTCTACTTCTTGCGGGAGCTGCTTTGATATAATCACTGTTCCACAACAACTGATCAGTTCCTTTTCTTAACTGAAAGTCTGAAACCTCCATTCGGCCTTGGTTCTTCTCCGTGTGTCAGTATAATGTCTTGGAGCATTAAAAGAGGAGCAAACGGAGAACCTGTATTAATTATGAATGGAGAAATCACGGAACTGTTCTAAGGTAACATTCTTGATGTTTCTGTTCCCGCTGATGAAAGTCACGAAACATATGACGATAAACACGTACAGGTATAAGCTTATATACAGACGTATTTATAATATTATTTATAATATGCAGGTTGTACTATATATACAGGTATATAATATACATGCATGCATACACTATATACTTATACTTTTAATAGCATTGCTATCCAACATGTAACTACAGTAGTGTGAAATCGAATTATTTTTTGCATCCGCAGATGGCGTTTTCAATGAACCAGGACAAAATGTTGTCATTGAACAAATTTGACGAGGATATGTCAGATACTTTCAGGAGCAGTGATTGCTGCAGTTCGAATGACTTTGTTGCCCGCTGGCATAGTCAATTTGGCGGCAAGGACAACTCAACATCAGATACGGACGACTCAACATTAGACAAGGACAACTCAACACGGTCAGACACGGATGACTCCACATTAGACAAGGACAACTCAACACGGTCAGACATGGATGACTCAACATTAGACAAGGACGACTCATTGGGCAACGACGACTCTTATGATGAACCTCCATGGACAACGCCAATAATGCCTGTACAAACCTCAACCCCAAAGACCACAAAAGCGCCGAAAATTAAAAGAAAAACCAAGAGCAACGTATCAGGACGTCAATGAGGTATCCTGGCATGGGAGCGTGACAACGACAAGGCGATGTTCGATACTCAAAATGTTGTGTTTGGAGGTAAAGGTTGGCCACCATCCTTTAGAAATCTAGTAGTGGAAATGCGAGAGTTTCTGTTTAATGAGACTGGGTTAAAGCAGGATTGGGATGTGGAGGATGCGAACATGCTCAGAAAATATTTTTATCAAAAATACAAAATTCCCGTAAGAGATACTTATTTTAGGTTAGAATTTGTTATAATAAAACTATAGTTTGTCCGTATAACTTGGGTTTTACTTCTACCACGACCGTCCCTTAATTTATATATTGAACGCCATGCAAAGACGATTTCCCACTTCAAGTAACGCCGCGTATACTGTATATAACATATTAATCAGTATAGCGTTGCCGACTTTTAAACCTTTAAATTATTATGATATATTTAATTGTTATTTAATGTTATGTGAAGTAACACGATTATATCGCCTTCATTTAGGTGAAAAATACATCAGCGTTGACACTGCATGTCAAACTAGCAACAATGTCCCCGCGATGCTACGAACAGGCGCAGAAACTGATGGACTTGTACCAGGCTGGTCAACTTGACCGTGCACGACACAACAACACTGTCTTACTGGTTATTCACGCCACATACTTCGACTTCCTTTATACGTACAATGTTATGGAGCAAGAAGACGAAGTTCACACACTGCTCCATAACATTTGCGTGAAGGGAAGAAGACCGGAACGAAGGCAGAATAGCCGGCGAAATGATTCTAAAGGGAAAAAACAGCTAAATATCATATGCATGTGTTCATGCAGATATTTCGTGCATGCACACTTAGTATTTAACTATAACATGCAGCGCCTCATTCACCAGCGAAATGAAACATCTAAATTCTAAAAAGAATAACTGAAAGGGCACATATAGAAAAGAAACTATACAATGGAATGCTATAGCTGTATCAAATTTATTTATTTCAGAAAGACGAAGAAGATTTGAAGAAAGCTACAAATGCCTTAAAACGTGTTAAAGAGGTAAAATATTGAAGTGATATATTATATAAGATGGCTGACGAAATTCTTAAAGCTGACACATGCACTATCTTTACATTTTCATCTTTAATAATGGTATATCTTTAAAATTACAAGGAATTGGCAGCAACAGAGAAAGAAAAAAGAGAGTTGGAAAAAGAAATCACTGAGCTCAGAAGGGTAAAGACATGCTGCATGTAACTATGTAACTATTTATATATATATATATAATTACGAATGTTTTAATAAATTTTCTTAAAATGTCTTAATATATAAATATATATAAATATATATATAAATATATATATAAATATATATATAAATATATATATAAATATATATATAAATATATATATATAAATATATATATATAAATATATATATATAAATATATAAATATATATATATAAATATATATATATAAATATATATATATAAATATATATATATAAATATATATATATAAATATATATATATAAATATATATATATAAATATATATATATAAATATATATATA